CCACCCAATCCACTCTGTGATCCCCTATCCTGGGAAAACCCACTAGAAGGGACAGGAAAGCAGCCTAACCCTAATTAAACACCATTTTTCCTACAGCAAAACCAACGCAGCCTAGGTGAGGAGAGCATTTTACCAGCCAGACCTGAGGACACAAACTGCAGTGCTGGGTCAGACAGCCTGCCCAGCCCCACTGCCCCTCTGGGCTGGCCCAGGAGAGGCACACAGAGCAGACACACCATGGACATCTGCTTCCACCCCTCCAGGCAAAAACTGGTTCAAAGTCCAAACTACAGGGTTAATAACAGCACTGGCAGCTCAGCTCAGCTCATGCTCCAGCCTAATTGAAGAGTTCACAATCTCAGTTGTTACTAACAACAAACCGTGGTGCAAAGTTGCACAAGAAGTGAAAATTACACCATTTAACAAGCAAACAAAACAACACAAACCCACACTGAAGTCAACAACAGCAAACAGAAAACTGAAAATGTGAAGAAGACAGATTTCAGTCATAAACTCAACTAGTGACCACTAACCTCCCAAAAACTCACATTTTGATTCCTCTGTACTCTCAGTGCAGAGCAGGGCATTCAGCTCTGATTTTAGGAGCCAAATCACATGGTACCTGCCAGTGAGAAAGACTGAGCCTCACTGGAGGCCATCCTACTTTTCCTACCCTACAATTAAACACAATACTTCTGTGATGACTTCAAAACTATCCCAATTCAGCAAAAACTTGAGCAATTAAGCATTAACCCATGAGCACCACTGCCAAGGCACTCAGCCTTTAATTAAAGCTTCAGTTGCTACAGCTGAGTGGATGTGCAGTCACAGAGTCCTGCAGCTCCAGGATTCCCAGCCCCCAATGGGAAACACAACAGCCAAAGGTGATTGTTTTGGTTCATTAGAGCCAATTGTGCCACCAAAACCAATTGTGATCACAGAGAAGGACTACAAGATCCCCCTCTCCATCACTGTGGGCACTAAGGAGTTAAGGAGATTCAGTATTCGATGGGTGGAGGTAGATAAACCAGGATCTGGGATTGTAGGAAACATTTAAAGCTCATCACAGCTTTCTGCTTCACTCCTCAGGTCTGGAAAAATGAGGGAACAGTGGGAAAACAAAGCATTAAAACTCTTTTTGTTGATACAATCATGTACATGCCTTAATGATAATCTGTCTTAAAATCTGAGCTTCGAAGTGTTGAAATACAGCCCAGAGTGTAAACACAATAAATTACCAACTTAAAATGCACCCATCATCTCCCATCCTAATGATATGGAGAGCTAAAAAAGCTCCTTGCAGATCTGCTAAGCTTTTCACCAACTCCACAGTGAGGCTGGAAAGGACAGAAGTCCCATCCTAACGATATGGAGAGCTAAAAAAATCTCCTTGTAGATCTGCTAAGCTTTTCACCAACTCCACAGTGAGGCTGGAAAGGACAGAAAAGTGCCACAGGTCCCTGCACTGCTGTGGAGGAGTTCTCCCCAACCAACATCTGAGCTGACATCCTGTGCTCCCCACAGAAGACATGCTGTGTCAGAGAGGAGGAAGTGAGCTCAAATGAAACACACAAATAAACCCCTTCTGCCTCAGCCAATTAAACACTACCCTGAGCACAGCTTAATCCAAGAAGAATAAAATTAAACCCTTCCTATCCACCTTTAATGCTGCACTTGACTAAGCACGCCCAGCTGTCATTCCTTGCAGGGCTGGAAAACTCCCGAGTTTTTTCTGCAGTGTGACTGCTTCTCAAACACTGAGCCCGTCCATCCTCAGCCTTTCCACCTGAGGAGACTCAGGCAGGACTCTGCTCTCACTGCAGAGCTGACATTTATTAACCTGCAGACACCAAAACACTGCTAAGAAACCTGAGAATGAGTCAATACTTTCCCCACAGGAAACACCTTGACCTGCTTACAGGAACAAACTGCTCGGAAGGACACTCGAGGACTTTTATTTTCTCAACAACTTTTGCCTTCTGCAGCAAAGGAAGGACTTGCTCAGCTCTCACTTTGCACTACGCCCCCAGTTTTTGAGCAGAGAAGGAAATTTTTTAGGTCCTTAACGTCAAATTACACTTTGGACATGCTAAAATGCAAAGAGACAATAATTTAAGCAGAGAGCTCTACAGAAGGCTGGTGCTTATCCAGAATTCCTCAGCTCTCATAGCAATTTGAGCAGAACAACCTACTGAACCACAGAGGCCCTTTGGGAGCAGAACTCAGAGAGGGAAGAGTTACTCATCACCCTCTTAACATAAAAAAGAGGCTGCACCAGGGTCCCACTCCCCCTCATTAGGGAAAGCCTGTGAGGGAGCCCTTTGACCCCATCAGCCCAAACCAAAACCCAGGTGCTGCAGCTGCCCCAAGCCGAGCAGCCCCATTCCCCGTGCCCTGTGCCCTCAAGTCCTGGCAGCCCCTGTGCCCTGTGTCCCCCTACACTTGCCAACCCCCCACCCCAGAGCCACGGAGCTCCTGGCTAGCCCTCAGTGACAGCTCCACGGCCTCACGGACTTCACCTGCCCCCCTCCCCTGCGCCATCCCCCTTCCCTACCCTGGCAGCCTCCTGACTGCCCCACACCCCCAAACCCTGCCAGCTTCTCCAAAACCCTCAAACGCTCCCCCCAGAGCCCCACACACGTCCCCAAACCCGCCAGCCCCCTCTGCGCCCCAGCGCTGCACGCTCCCGAACCTGCCAGCTCCCCTCAGCGCTCCACCCCTGTCAGCCTCGCCAGACCCGCACACAGCCCTCACACCTGGCAGCCCCCCGAGCCCAGCCGAGCCGCAGCCGCCTCACCTTCCCCCTGAGGAGCCGCGTCCCGGGTGGCGGCGGGGCCGGCGGGCCTGGAACGGGCGGTCCCGTCCCGGTGCCTGCGCTCGGCGGCGGCGGCGCTATGGCAACTGCCCGCGGGGCCCGGCGGCCGGAGCGGCCCCAGGGCAGCCGGGCGGGGCAGCAGCGACTCCTGGCGGACAGGAGGACTCCGCGGGGGCTCCGATATCCGCAGGTTCGAGACCCGCCGTGGGCAGGTGGGAGGAGGAGGAGGAGGAGGAGGAGGAGGAAGAGGGGGTACTACGGGGTTCCTGTGCGCTGGGGGAGTCCCTGGGTGCGCACGGCATTGCACGGGAAGGGAGCATACAATGAGAGATCACAGAATCAATCGGCATGGAATACATCTCATCGGCCAGCCATCCACGAGCACCCCACGGATGGTGACCCCACCACCGCCCGGGGCAGCCCATTCCCATGTTTAATCACCCTTCCTTCCTCCTCGTGTCCAGCCTGAACCTGCCCCGGCACGGCGTGAGACTCCTGTCCTCTTATACTGAGATACAGAGACACGGACACACAGCCCGTACATACACACACAAATGTGCACACTATTCGTGTAAACACACATTTATATGTGAATTTTATATGTAAAAATATATATACAAATAAATATACAAATATATATAATATGTTTATATATATATATATATATATATATGTTTTTATATATTAAAAAATATGTACAAAAGGACAAATAAGCCCTTAGTGCCAAAAGGCATCCCTGATGCTCAGAGAGGTGCCCTGCCTGCCCTGGCATGGGATTCACTGCCCTGCTCCAAGCCTTTCCAGAGGTTTTCCAGCTGTTTTGGGCATTGGGAAGAGGCAGGGAAAAAGAACATCCTGAACTCTGCATTAGAGAGCTGCAGGAGTGCCTGACTGAGCATGGAGGGGAAAGGCTGAATGAGGATATTTAGGTCAGAAACTCCTTTAAGCCTGATTTTACTATACAAATTTAGGGCAAATCAGCTTGAGCAGGAAGTCAAGTTTTTCCAGATGGGGTAAGAGATTCCCTGAACACTCCTGCTGTCCCCACACTGTGAAACAGCCAGCAGCCAGAGCTTCCCTGCAGCAACACAGCCAGAAATTCAGCCCTGTGAGCTCAGAGCACACCTGGGAGCAGAAGAGCTGCCACACAAAACCCAGCCAGACCCAAATCACACCACCCTCCCCAGATGTTTCCCAAAAGGGAAAAAACTCCCACAGCAGCAATGAGCTGAATGCCGAGGAGAGAAAATCCCCCCCAGTCACCATTATGCCAATGAAAGCTGGGGTGGGAAGCTCTGAAGGAGCCCAGAGCTCACACCATCACCTTTCCTGACAGACTGGCAGTGTCCCTGTTGAGTCACCACCCCGTGACTCCCTGGGGACTGAGCGCAAGGCTGGAATTTCTCCTGTCATTTCTCAGGGATCACACATGGTTGGTCTCACGCTGACTCTAACATTTTGTTCCTCTTCTCGTCCTGTTGGTTAGGGGAAGGAAACATCTGGAAAGCCCTCTTGGTTCAAATATAACCCCAGAGGTTTCTGCTTGGCTCTTCCCTGCTCCACACTCCCCCACAAGAGCTTTGCTTCCCCTGCAGAACCTGAGGCAGAGAGATAAATCAGAAATTAAAATGTGTGTGCACCACCCCTTTATCCACAGCTCCAAGAGAGGAGCTAGCAAGGAATTAACTAACAAGAAATTGGCTAATAAGGTAAATTTCTGCTTGTAAATTCCAGCCACGTCAGCACAGGTCTCCAGCAGACAGGAAAACCATCCTCTTCCTCACAACCCCAACAACCAGGCTGCAACCCCTAGAGCCAAACCTCCCCTCCTGAGCCTGGAGAGCCCAGAAATGCAAATAAATACACAGCTTTAGAAAGTTTTCAGTAAAAAATATGTATTTAATGTGTCAAGCACAGCCTTAGAGGGCTCCAGCAGCTGTGGTGCTGTGTCATTAGTTTAATGAGCATGCCCTAATTAGTCCCAGCCCCCAAATTCTCCATCAGCTGCCTTGAAGTGCAAGCCATGGCTCAGCTCACCTGCCAAGGAGGTCTCTTAAACTGAGGGCATCTGAGACATCTGGGATCAAGAGGAAACTCCACATCCAAGCCTCCCTCTCCTCAGGAGGTTGCCAAGAGCACACAAGAGCAGCTGGAAAGCACTGGAGCAGGGCAAGATTATTTTAAACATCACCACATGCAATTGAACAGGTCCTTGAGCATCCAGCAGGGCCAGCTGGTGCCAGCCAGGACCCATCTGCCCCAGCTAATCCAGACCAGAACCTCCATCAGTCAGCAGCAAGGCTTTACACAGCCCAGCTGTGCCCCAAAACCACCAGCAGGTCCCCACAGCGCCTGGTGTTCCTCTGGGGAGAAGGGAAGATCAAGGATCTCATTGTGTCCCTGCTCATCAGCAGCCTGTCCCACCCCAGGCCTGCTCAACATTTTAATTAAGTTCAGAGCAGCTGTCATTAACTGAATTCCAGCTCTCAACAACCACAGCCATGTGAAACAGCTTTTTTGTTTGTTTTATTTCTGAACCAAGCCCACTGTGGGCCCAAGGATGATCAGAACTCCAGAGGTCAAGGAGCCATGGGGGAACAGAACCAGCACAGGGGATTTGTGGGGTTGTGCTGATCCCAAACCTGAGCACAGGGCTGGCTCTGGGGGGTGAAGACAGCAGAGGACAGGACCTGGCTGCCCTCACAGCCCAGCCACTGCAGGCACAGAGGTCTCCAGGGAACCCACATTTAGTGTTCCCACAAGAGATTTTTCTTGTTGGTCCTTCCCAGGGCTGCAGGACTCTCAGTCAGTTTGCAAAACCTTCAGTGCTTGCCTGCTTTTGTGCAGCTCTCTTGAACCTTGTGACATTTGCTTCTCCATCCCATCAGAGTCCCTGTGTGGCTGTCACCAGGCTGGGTTCCAACACGTCACCATTTCCAATGTCCAGCTCCACCTGGATCCCTGTTGGCTGCAAGGAGGAACAGAGCAAAGCTTATCCTCACACTGCTGGGCTCTTCATCTTTCCATCTCCTGTCTCAGAGCCAAAAGTCCCAGTTAATCCCCCTCAGGATTTCCTGCTGCTGGTGCCCCTGTTTTAACTGGGACTGCTGAATGCAGAGACACAAATAGACAATGCAATTTAGCAAAGAAAGAACATCTTGCTCTGAGACCTCCCCAGACACACCACCATTTAGCACATCCAGGATCCATTTCACTGCCTAGCACACCACCAGACCCAAATCTGTCTGGATCAAGCAGCAGAGAAGGCTCAGAGCCAGAAGGCTCAGGCAGGGCTGAATGGGGAATTCAGTAGGAATGTGCCCTCTGTTGACTGAGTGACCAAACTATCCTTTGTCTCCTTAAAAAGGAAAAAATGCCCAGAAGTTTCTCTCCTCAATTAGGTAAAAAGACATCTCATAGGACCTTGGGGACTTCACCTCAAACTTAAGGATAGCCAGTTGGACAGAAGACAGAAAGTCCTGCCTGAGCAATTCACTAGAAAAAGAAGAGAACAAAGGAAAAAATTGCTTTTGTGAGGTGTTTTACCAGGAGCAAGAGCCTCTTGCTCCTGGCTCTGGTTTTCTCTGTAAAAAGCTTTGTTATTTTGCCTTTTAATGAAACTTTTCTGTTTCCAACACTACCACAAAAGCCATCCTGTCGATTTTATGCCATCTGAGGTGGCTGAGCTATCTCAGGTGTGAAATAGATCTCCAAGAGCTCATAACACCTGGCTCGAGGAGACCAATATATCATGCTGCCTGTGCACAGGCAGGCCTCAAGCTGAAGTCACCTTTGGAGGTGTCAGAGCCATTTCCACAGGACCCTCACTGCCCACACACCATCAGGAGAGTGAAACCAGCACCAGGAACACAGCGACCTGGATTGGAAGTGGTTGCCATGTGGCATTCACATTCTCTGAAAAAATCCCTTCACCCAGGATTTTTCTCCTGAGAGGCCTCAGAGAAAAGGAAAACAATTCTTATCTCATTTGTTTCTCCTGTGCTGTGCTCATGTGGAATGTGTTTGGAGATTGTTTACCCACAGGTGATTGTTTCACTGCACTCTGCTGTGAGTTGATTTGACTAATTTTGATTTGGCCAATTAGGGCCAAACTGTGTTGGGACTCTGGAAAGAGTCACAAGTTTTCATTATTATCTTTTTAGCATTCAGTAAGTATATTTTCTGTATTCTTTAGTATAGTATTATTTAATATAATATAGTATTATAAAGTAATAAATTAGCCTTCTGAGAACATGGAGTCAGATTCATAATTCCTGCCTTCATTGGGACATTCCCTGTAAATACAATAGTGCCACTCATTTATCCTCCCTAAAAACACCAGCCCAGGCTGCTGGGAACAGATGCTCTGCTCTTCTCCTCTACAGCACCCAGCCAGGCTGCACAAGCTGCTCTCCCACTGCCAGGCTGGGGAAGGAGGGAGGGAGGGAGGGAGGGAGGGATGGATGGATGGATGGATGGATGGATGGATGGATGGATGGATGGAGGGATGCTCACCTGCCGGGGTGACTTGGCCAGGGAAGCTGCACGTTGTGTGCTGGGTCTCTCCCAGGAGCCTTCTCTGCTCTCCAGCAGCACCCGGGTGCTGGGCACGAAACTCCAGGAGCGGCCAAGGGCTGGCTTCAGTGGGCCACTGCTGCTGTCCCTTGTCACCTGGTTGGTCACCTGCAGCACAAACAGACCTAGCAGTGCCACTCGGTGTAGTGACACACTGGAGGTCACCAGGAAATCCTGGCCGTGCTGCTGCTTCTAGGAAGGTTTTCCCTTCTCCTTCATCTCCTCTGCTATCCCCTCCGAGCACAGCCCAGGTAATTGCCCAGAGCAATGTCAGGGAGTTCTCTGATATCTGCAAGCTGCATCTCTCCTGGTGCTGAAATCACCACAAAGTTTAACTTGGGGCCTCCAAGTGTCCTTCCAGACACACTGTCCTTGTCACTCTACCAGAAGGAAAGGCAGGACTGTCTCAACACCCTCCAGAGCCAGGCTCAGCAGACCACCATCCTCTGGTGTGACACTCCCTGCTCAGACACATTAACTGTGGTCCCACCCACCTGCCTGGTGCACTGGCCAAAAGCTGGCAAGGCTAGAGCAGGCCCTTTGCAGCTCCTGTGGGGTGATACAATGCCCTGCAGCTCCTGCAAGGTGACCAAGAGGTCACCCAGGAAGCTGGCCAGCCCCTCAAATGAACGGTGTTGTATAAAAAATAAACACAACCAGCCTTTCAACCTGCCTGGACTTAACTCTGCCTTGCTCAACCCAGTGAACGGCTGAGGACAGCAAGGGCAGGAGGCAGCACATCAGCCCAGGTCCTGCCCCATGCTTGGAACAAGACATCTGCAGGCTGCAGAGATGTCAGGGAGCAGGGCACTGTGGGGCTCAGGCCTCTGGCTCCCTCTCCCACAGGCTCCAGAGCCTCCCTGTGGCTCCTTGCCACACACCAGCACACGAAGGACAAAGCACAGCAACACTCACCACAACAGCAAGGCTGAACTCCCTAGCCAGGGTCTTCAGCTCCTTGGAGAGCTGCATCATGAGGGCCAGACCTGGAGCAGGACAAAGCATCTGGCTGTCTGGGGATCAGCCCCCAAAGTGCACCCTGGAAGCAGCTGACATCTGGATTTGCATGAGCATTGGATTCAGGGCCAGCACTAGTGCAGTTCATGGACACCTTCACTGGACCATTCCCCATCCTTTCTTATCTTACAAGGCCCAAAAAATCCTACAAAAGCATCAGGAGCTCCAGACAAAGCTGGCCAGCATGATTTAGCAGGCACAGGACCCATCCCTCCAGCTCACAGCTTAATTTCCTACAGCCCACAGCTGTGAGGGGACCTCCTGTGACAGCACTGGCTGCCACTCAGCTGTGCAAGAGCCTCTGGAAGGTGTTTGAGAGGGCTCCTTGGCATCCTCATTTCTGATTTATGGTCCTTTCTAGCATAAAGGGCCTCAGAGGAGCCATGCAAACTGTGCCATGATGTATTTCTGACACTCTGAGAGAAGTTTTCATTTATGGGCAAAGAGTCCAGTGCCTCCCCTGGATGGGTTTCAGACCAGGAGTGGCCACAACCAGCTGGAGTGTTTGCTGCTAACACTGCAAACACTCCCCTTTTATCCAATCCTAAGGGAAAAGCTGGGAGCACTCACATCCAGATCCGTCCTGCCCCAGCCCCATTGCAAGCACAGCACACACGGTGCCCCAGCTCACCCTCTGACTGCCTGCCACCCAGCAGAGGGTAAATCACAGCCGACACCGAGTCCAGCACCACCACCTTGAGAGGTCCCACGGAGCTCACGACCTGCAAGGAGGCACCAGGAGCAACGTGGAGTCACAAATCCAGCAGTTCTGGAGGCTGTGAGCTGCACAGAGGCTCCAGCATCCCCAGCATGAGGCAATCTGGAGCCACCTGTCAGGCACACAAGCCCTGCAGCTCTGGGCAGGGGAGAGGGGCCCCAAGGCTCGCTCCTACCTGCTGGGAGAGGCGATCCCGCAGCTCCTGCAGGGCACTCAGCACCTCGTAGATGTTGAACACACGTTCCACCTGCACCCTCTGCAGAGCCTCCAGCTGCAGCACAAAACCAGCCTCAGTGTCCCCAGGACCTGGCCTATTCCTCCTGCCCCAGGACTTGGCCTATTCCTCCTGCCCCAGGAATTCTCCTATTCCTCCTGAGTTCCTCCTGCCCCAGGATTTGTCCTGTTCCTCCTGACCCAGGATTTCTCCTGTTCCTCCTGCCCCAGGGTTTGTCCTATTCCTCCTGCCCCAGGAATTCTCCTATTCCTCCTGACCCAGGGTTTGTCCTATTGCACCTACCCCAGGATTTCTCCTATTCCTCCTGCCCCAGGACTTGTCCTATTCCTCCTGCCCCAGGGTTTGTCCTATTCCTCCTGCCCAGGTGCCACCAGCTCTCTGCACTCACACCATGCCACAGACCCTTATTCTTCCACATTTGCCTCCACCCCATTAACACCATTGCCCCTAGGACACTGATGGAAAAGCAACATGGATTGAGCTTAGGGAGCAAAGTCCTGCTAGTCCTGTAAGTCCTTCCCTTCTCCCAAGACAAACAACAAATAACAGAGTCTGTCCTGAGCATGGCACCCACTGGGCCATGGAAGGTTTGGACTCAAAAAAGAAGTCCTGTAAGTCCCTCCCTTCTCCCAAGACAAACAACAAACAGAATCTGTCCTGAGCATGGCACCCACTGGGCCATGGAAGGAAAGGTTTGGACTCAAAAAAGTCCATGAGGGCAAAGGCAGAGCTGGAAAGACAAACCATCTCTGGGGTTTCTTGCAGGCAAATGAGCAAAATGAGTTTCAGAGTAAGCAGAGGGACCAGCTCCAGGGGAACTTGCCTGCTCTTCCTCATCCTCTGTCTGGGCTTGGAGCATCTGGCAGAGACGGGAGGCAGTGAAACCCCCCGTGGAGTCGAGAAACAGGACGTGCTGCTTGAGCCCCAGGGACACACTGGCTGCAATGCCCAGGCACACCTGGGGGGACAGGGACAGGGTGTCAGCCAGCCCTCACATGTCCCTCTGTGGGACATCTTCGCCCTACCTGTCCTCTCCCCTGTCCTCCACCCCACTCACCTGTGTCTTCCCAGTGCCTGGTGCTCCCATGAGCTCTGTCACTTCTCCCGTGTACAGCCCTGAGTCCAGCAGCTGGTCCAGGCTGTGGGATGGACACAAGGGGGGATTATCAACACCCCTTTAGCCAGAATGGCAGGGGCACCAGGAGGCAGCAGTCCCCAGATATTTGTCCTTAAATTTCCCTTCCCGAATGCACACAATTGCATGGGGATGGTTTGGAGAATGAAATTCACAGCTTGTGCTGGCATGCACAGCCTTGTGCAGCAAACCCAGCCCCAGACAGAGCTGGTGGGGGGGTGAGGTCCCCACCTTGGGCTGCCAGTGGGCAGGATGGCAGTGGAGCTCTTGAGCTCCTCGTAGAGGTCAGCTCCATTGGCAGGGAAGGCAGAGAACTGGGCCAGGAGCACACGTCTGACTGCAACCAGCGCCTGGGGGCAGAGGCACGTCTGGAAATGGGACTGATAACAGCCAGCAGCTGCTGCAGAAGGGCCCCCCAGACAAGCCCATCCTTGTCCCTGAGCCCAACATGAGCTCTGAGCTCCCTGGTTAGTGTACCAGGAGTTAGGAGTAGAAGCTTCTACCTTGTAAGACAGGGAACACTTTTGGGCAACATCCTCCAGGTCTGAAGACACAAAGTCCACAACTGCAAATAACATGAGGGACAAGAGGTTGGAAGCCAAACACGGTCACACCACAAACACCAGAAGACAACCAGCTTAGACAAAACCTGCACCAACAAGCAAAGTGGCTGTGACCTCTGTCAACACTGTGAGTGGAGGAGTGTGTCCTCTGAGATGGCCCCATCACTCATCACAGAACAAACTGTTTCTTACAAAACAGAGTAGGGAGAAAAGCTGGTAAAAATTTTCCCTGTTTTGCTCAAGAGCTGCCCAGCACCTTTTCCTTCCCCTGTAAGGGCAGGAGGTGCCCAGGGAGCAGCATTCCAAGAAGTTGGGCATTTTTCAGAGGGAAAACTGTACAAACCCTCCTGAAATACCATTAAAAGCCAGAATTGATCCATCCTCAATGAGCCTCTGCAGGGATCTCTTACCACATCCTTACACTCTCCTGCTCCTTTGGAGAAGTCCTTACTCACAGTATCCACCCAGAAGGACCCAGAAGAAATCCAGCAAGGAGGACACAGAAGGATATTGCACCACCACCACCCTCCCAGGATGTGGGATGACACAGGTCCACCAAACACACGGGGGATGATGTTCCCCAAGCCCAGACCCCGATGCCACCCTGTCACCCGTCCTGATGCCATTGGCCCTGAGGAGCTGGATCATGTCTTCAGTGAGACCAGGGCAGAGCCCAGCCCGCAGGACCACCATCTCCACAGCGAGGGAGAAGAGCAGAGACCTGCAAAGGAGACGGGAGAGTGGGATTCATGGAATCGTTAAGTTTGGAAAAGACATCCAAGATCATCAATTCCAATCCTCCACCCTGCACTGCCAGGTCCAACACTGAGCCACGGATGGGGCCTGAAGCCGGGGAGAAGCCACCCAAGCTGTGTTTGGGATGGGTGGGTAACTAATTCTTCTTTGGGGTCAAACAGCCCAAAATCCTGCAAGGGGGCACCGCTGCGCTGGGGATGGGGGAGCACAGCGGGCGGGGGGACTCCCTCCCGGGGCAAGGGGACCCTCCATCCCGAGCCACCTCCATCCCGAGCCACCTCCATCCATCAGCCCCACGATGGTCACCCACCGCCCGGGCTCCCCGCAGCCCTGCCCGCTCCCTTCCTGCTTCCTGCCGCCGGCGGAAGGGACGGGGCCGCTCCTCTTCCCCGGCCCGCCTGTCCCATCCCGCTGGGGTTCCCAATCCCCATCCCGACTGTCCCATCCTGCAGGGGTTCCCTTTCCCATCCCGACTGTCCTATCCCGCTGGGGTTTGCCTTCCCCATCCCGCTCGAGTTTCCTTTCCCCGGCCCGGCTGTCCGGCCGTCCCATCCCGCTTGGATTCCCTTTCCCTATCTCTGTTTTCCCATCCCGCTTGGGTTCCCCATCCCCGTCCCGACTGTCATATCCCGCTTGGATTCCCCTTCCACATCTCGGTTTTCCCATCCCGCGGGGGTTCCCCATCCCCGTCCCGCCTGTCCCATCCCGCTGGGGTTTCCTTCCCCCATTTCGGTTTTCCCATCCCCCTGGGGTTCCCCATCCCCGGTCCGGCTGTCCCATCCCGCTGGGGTTTCCCATCCCCGTCCCGCATGTCCCATCCCGCTGGGGTTCCCCATCCCCGGTCCGGCTGTCCCATCCCGCTGGTGTTCCCCATCCCCGGCCGCTCGCCGGGATGAGCACAGCGCTAAGGTCCCTTCCCACCCAAACCATGCCGGATCTGTGACATTCCCCGGGCTGGCTTTGTCCGGGCTCATCAGCCAGGGCTGCCCGCTGGGAAGTGAAAGCGCACGAAGGGCTGGGCGCCTTTGCTGCCCTACAGGTGTTGGGAACTATGTGTCCCTTCTTAGCTGCCTTGGAGGCTTCTCCTGGGAAAGCTATTTTTGCGGGTATTTGTTATTATTATGTTTTTCTTTCCAGCCGAGGCCTGAAGAGGGCTCTCGGCACTCGCTGCTGAGCCTGCCCTGCCCTGCGCTCTCAGCTCTCAGCAGCAGCACCTTTGGGTTTTGAAACTCAGTTACCTGCAGTGCTGCCGCTGTGACAATGGAGCTGTACTCAGCTCAGGCTGACGTGAGAAAGGCAGTGCTATAGCCCGAGTGCTGATATTTCAGCCAGATGAGCCCTGCTGAGTACCTAGGATTTAGGAACTGGAAGGAATGTTGAAGGAATTTCTGGTGTGTTAATCCAAATGAATGCTGGAAAAGCCGCTGCACTGAGTCTGTCCAAGGCAGGGACAGCATCTTGCACTTTCCACAGCTGTTGTCCTGCTGCCTTGGACCTATTCTCCAGCAGGTATAGATGTGGGAGCTGCTCTTGATGGAGCTGCCTGCAGCTGTGGTGTTGATTTGCTGTGAAGGGATTTGCTGGGATTTACAAATTGACTTGGAATTGCCTCCTGCCCAGATACCAGGGACAAGGTAGTGCTGCTGCTGGTCGGTGAATAAAACAGAAGCCCTGGACAGGGAAGTTCTGTGCTCATTCTTGCTGCATAAGAGCCACAAGCCACAAAATAGATCACACAATTAAAGGCAATGATATTTTTGCTCCTGGCAATGTCTTGGTCAGCCCATGCTCTCCTCAGTCATTTCCCCATCCTGCCAGTCCCTGCTTTGCTTTATAGCTGGGATGCTGGTAGGTACACTGGGGAAGGCAAGGCCTGTGTTGCGGGGAGATAAATCAAAAAGCAGAATTGATTGTGACTGCTGGGTTGAAAGGCTCAGTTGTCTTGGAGCGGGGGAGATAAATCAAAAAGCAGAATTGGTGATTGTGACTGCTGGGTTGAAAGGCTCACTTCTCTTGGAGCTCAGTGCTGCTCTGTCTCCTGGTGCCACTCAAACTGAGCCACTCATCACAGCACTTCCAGTACATTCCAGCCCAGACCTCTGTGTTAGCCCATGTCAGAGTGTTGCTGAATAACCACATGTGGGGTGGGTGGCAGCACCAGACTGGGGTGGGATTTCAGTGGGATGGGCTCCCAAAGGCCCTGCAAGGAGGAGGCAGTGCTAGGTGTCAGTCAGCTTTCCATCCCAGGGAATTCTGGAAGGTGCTGGGCACTGCTGCAGCTGCTGGCCTGGGGCCACTTGTTCCCGAGGCTCAGCTGTCTCATGCTTCCCTAAATAGAAAGGGAAAAGGGTCTGAGCACTGTGACAGGGGTCAGCCATCCCAGCCGTGGGCTTTTTTGGCATGAACCTCCCCCTTCCTGCTCCCCACACCCTTTGCAGCTCTGCAGGCAGCAGGGAGCTGGGATTTGCCCTGGCAGGTGGGAGAGGATTCCCTCTTGCTGCAGAGGGGTGCTGCCTGCCTGCAGCCAGGTGCCCCCCGAGCTGGCCCTGGGTCCCAGCCCTCACCAGGCGTATAAAGCACCAGGGGACAAGGAGGGGACAGGCTGTGGTGACAGGTGACGCTGACAGGCAGCAGGAGCTGCCAGGTCCTGCCCAAACTTGGAGTGGGAAATGAGCTCTTTCCTGAGCCACACAGACTCTCTGTAGTGCTGGCAGATTTCTTTAATTCCTTTTTTTTTTTGTTGGTTGACTCCTAAGGATCTACATTGGTGGGAAAAGCTGAGAAGTCACAGCCTGGAGGAGCAATTTAGGTCTTCATTTTCGAAACTCTTTGGCCTGGTAAGCTGCTTTTATTAATGTGTGTTAATTATATGTCAGTCTCATGGTGGAACTCAGCTTGGGGGAGTAGGCAGGTGACCCAGGCAGTTGAAAATGGGTCACAAATTGATGTTTTTCCTTCAAGCTCTCCAGATGGAGGACCCCATTCAGCTGAAAGAGGAGGGCAATAAATATTTTCAGGCCAGTGACTATGAGAAAGCCCTTCAAAACTACACTCAAGCCATAAAGCTCAACAAGGACAAGGCGCTGCAGGCGGTGCTGTACAGGAACAGGGCAGCCTGTTTCCTCAAAAAGGTGAGAACAGCTCTCCTCACCTGGGCAGTGCTCAAGGGGAGAAGAGCAGGAGGGCAGCCACGGGCACTCACTGGCTGTTGCCTGGGTGGTTTGTCCATTTATTGAATAGGGTGTTTCCAGCTGGTCTGAAATGAAATGTTCTGGGCTTGTGCTGGAGCTTCGCTGGGGCATCCCCCTGGGAAATGGAAACAGAGAGGTCCCAATGTCCATCACTAATGGGGACATGCCTTGCTATTCCATGGCTAACAAATCTCTCCTTTCTGGTTTAACAGGAGGAATACGCCAAGGCAGCCTCGGATGCATCTAGAGGTAAGGAGGTGGATACACTTGCTCAGCCTGCTCTCACATCTGCTTTTGGGACACTGTGGCCTTATTCCTTGATGTCCACTAACACCCAAGTGCTGAGGCCACAAGGGAATTCCTGGAAGTTCAAGTGATGTTCCAATTTGTTGTGCTGGTGCAATCAGTGCTAATCAAGCACTGCTTGATGCTAGTAACAAAGCAAATCACAGTTTGCACAGGCCACTTCCAAGCAGCAAGCTCTGATGCCTGCTGTTTTGGATCCCTTTCCCAGCTATTGACATCAATGCTTCGGATATCAAAGCCTTGTACCGGCGCAGCCAAGCCCTGGAAAAACTGGGCAAGTTAGACCAAGCATTCAAAGATGCTCAGAAATGTGCCACCCTTGAACCCCGCAACAAAAACTTCCAGGAGACCCTGAGGAGACTGGGGGCCAACATCCAGGAGAAGGTAAATGCCAGGGGAACAGTGCTGGATTCACAGACCAGGGGTGGGAAATCCTTGCTGTGGGTTACATCAATGGATTGTTGGTCATATTGGAAACTCGTGGCAATATAGGGGGATAAATAGGCTCCATTGACTGGAAGTTCATACTTGATGTGTGTAAATCTGAGGATTGGGTTGATTGGTTAAATTAAAAAGTGTGGCAGCTTCCTCCTGAGGCTGGCCTGGTCCTGAGTGTCTTGGAAAGATCTTGGCAAGGGTCTGGACCAGTTTTGGGCTGGGTCTGGCAGTTGCCACATTGCTACAGTTGCCTTTGAAGAAATCCTTGCACCACTACCTACTGTGAAGTCTCAGAAATCAAGGTTTAGAGCTGGTTCTGCCTGTGCCCATGAGATTGGTAATGGATGCTGATTGCTGAGAAATTCTATCTCCTGTTATTCAGCTTAAACTGCCTGTGGTTTGAAGGGAGGGAGTATTCTTGAAGCAAAAAAGGAAAGCTGCTCCTCAGTTTTCTCCTCCTGATGCTCTGTGCTCTCTCTTGGCACAGCTGCGCATTCAGTTCTCCACAGACTCGAGGGTGCAGAAGATGTTTGAGATCCTGCTGGATGAGAACAGTGACAAAGAAAAGCGAGAAAAGGTGAGAACTGCCCTGGACTTGGCAAAATGGCTGTGTGATGTCAGAGGCTGCTCCAGGGAGCAGAGCCCTGTGTTCCCTTCCCCACCTCCCCCGGATGGAGGATGAGGGAAGGACTGGAAGGGGAACTGCACTCAGAGAGAGGGAAAATCACCCCTGTGCTGAGGGAAGGTGGCCCAACCTCCCAAAATACCAAAGGTGGGATCAGCCTGGACTTCTGCTCAGGTCCTGCCACCCTCCAGATGTTCTTTCCAAGTAGTGACCCACTCTTCTTGGGCAGAGCTGAGCTGATCCATAAATGCATCTGCATTAACTGTCTGGTGGGGTCTGAGCTGATCCGCTGTATCTGTCAGGAGATGGTTCCCACCAGGATCTCCCAGAGCTGCATGGGGATGTTCTGGAGGCTGGGCTGTGCCACTGACCCCTGGTTCTTCTGCCTCCCCACTAGGCTGCAAACAACCTCATAGTCCTGGGAAGGGAGGAAGCAGGTGCTGAGAGGATTTTCCAGAATAATGGGGTCAACTTGCTGCTGCAGCTGATAGAAACCAAAAATCCTGAGCTGATCCTGGCAGCCGTGAGGACACTTTCAGGAATGTGCACAGGACATAAGGCTCGGGTAAGGACAAGGTGCTTGGACCTTCACTGCTATTGCCTTTTGCACCTGGGGAGAGGGAAATTGAAAATTGAAATTTGTGTTGTTTGTGGGCAGTCGGAGAAGATTAAAACTCTGACTTCAGGATTCACTGAGGAAAATAATTTCTTTGTCCTAGCTGAGCTGAGAGGACACAGGGAGGAAAGGCCTTTGCTAACACTGTCCTGCTCTCTCCTTCCTGGGGCCAGGCCACTGCCATTCTCCATTACCTGGGCATCGACAGCATTTGCATGTGGATGTCGGTGGACAATGAAGAAATCTCCCTGGCTGTCTGCAACCTCCTGCAGACCATCACCGACTGCCTGCTGGGCCAGGGGAAGGAGGAGCACCACGGCAAGGAGGAGGCTCTAGTGCTAGGTAACAGCACATCACCTGCTCTTCATTCCCTCTGCCCGCAGGAGGAGCGGGCCCA